ACTTTTTTAAAACACTGCAATACCTGCAACAGTTTCAAGGACAGCTTCATCACCTTCAAGGACATAAATACTTGTCTTTTTCTAGAAAATTTCCGCGATTAGCGAAGTGATAAAACGATCTTGTGATTTCCAGATTTATACTCCCAGCACTGAACTAAGGCTCAGGTGGCATCACTCAATCAGATGGATGATCACACAACAGGTGTCATTCTCTCAAAGATCGGATTAACAAAATAGCCGTACCTCTTTTTGCACGATGAAGATGTTTCTACTTGCGAGCTAGCTAGCCACAACACATCAATTCCCTCACATGCAAAATCAGCACCGACAACATGGTCGCCTCGTTCTTCAGCTTCATCACCTTCAAAAATCAGATCTCTCCCATTGACAGTCTTGGATTGCTCAGAAGATTCCTTCACGAAAGACTCAGTCATGTTTGAATCGTTGTCTCCAATGTTAGAATCGGTGCTTCCATACGACAGTGTAACTAAAGTATTTCATCAAAGAATGAATCGAATGATGAATGGTCTTGTTCTTTCAGGATGTATCGAAACTTCACAAACAGTAATGTTCACCTTTCAAATTACCCTAATACTTCTAAAAGCAGCTCTAAATCAAATCTCACAACAACACAATTGAATTAGATGTCATTTATGGCCTTTTCCGAACCTTGTTTATTATATTATCTGATGCTAAACACCTTTTAAACGAAATTCTAATAAACTCTTGATGTTTTATTTTTGTTCCGCTAGTGGAAAGTGACGACCACACAAATGGGCTGCGCTTGTTGTTTGCCTTTCAGTCACTTGAACATATTCAATGACGAACTATGCAGTTGCCACGGAAGTTACACACACTTCACACCTATCCTACGATCTAGTCACCTTGTTTACTAGAGCCGAAGTAGATGCTCCCTTACCAATGAGACCATGATAATTTCATATCTAACATCCGCTTAACCTCAGTAACTCTATTTTTGCCAGGGAAGCAGCATATATTCTGTTTCCGTTAAGATTAGTCGCATGATTCCACGCGCTGAGGCATAAACACACAGACGCACTTGGTGCCGTTGCAATGCAGTTCCGGCCGCGCCACAGGCGATACATTAGGGTATCTCCATACTTCGTAAGGATAAGGCTTATAAGCGCAATAAGAATTGGCCGATCGAGGGTGCGCGGCGGTTGCGTTGCTGCGCCGCAGCTAAATACCATTTTGCCTGGGGTTCCGTCCTCATCTTTCTGGCACACTTGCTGACGACTTCTGACGGCTCTGAATAAAGAAAACGAGTCAAATCGGAAGAAAAAAGTGCGGAAAGACTTGTATAGAGGCGAATTGCGCTAAATCGGTACTCAACAAAGAACCGCAACGCAACCGCCGCGCACCCCCAATCGGCCGATTCTTATTGCGCTTGGTGGTTGCGTTGCTGCGCCGCAGTCAAATACCACTTTGCTTGGGGTTCCGTCTTCATCTTTTCGGCACACTTGCTGACGACTTCTGAGAACTCTAAGAAAGAAAGCTAGTCAAGTCGGAAGAAAAAAGTGCGGAAAGGCTGGGATAAAGGCAAATCGCGCCAGATCGACACTCAACAGGGAGCCGCAACGCAACCGT